ATTCTGTATGCTGAGTAAATAACCTGAGAAGTTAGACTGTATGAAGAAGCACGCAGCATCAGGATTGGAGGAAGACTCATTAAGAACTTGTGACATGCAAATGATACAACCTTGTTTGATGAAAGTGAAGATGACTTGAAGCACTTACTGATGAAGGTTAAAGACTGCACTCTGCGGTATGGATTACACCTCAACATCAAGAAAATAAAAATCTTCACCACTGGACCAATAAGTAGCATCATGATAAATAGAGAACAGATTAAAGTTGTCAAAGATTTCATATTACTTGGATTCGTAAACAACACCCATTGAAGCAGCAGTCAAGAAGTAAGTCATCATATTGTATTTGGAATCTACTACAAAAGACCTTTTTAAAGTGTTGAAGAGCAGAGGTGTCACTTTGAATACTAAGGTGTACCTAACTGAAGCCATCTTCCTGATTCATTGTCCAACTTTAACATGCATATGAGGTGACTGATAATACCATGGCTTCAGTTGTTGTTGTTGTTATATGCCATGGAGCTGGACCCAACTCAGCGACCCCTCCTTGGGTTTCCAAGGTGGTATCACTACAGAAGTAGATTGCCCAACCTTCCTTCCGAGGGGTGGCTGGTGGATTTGAACTGCCAGCCTTCTGGTTAGCAGTCAAGTACCTTTGGCACTGTGCTACTACCTTAGTTATGTTAGTTTGGGTAGATAGTATGTTTCTAGAAATCTGTCCATTAATTCTAGATTTTCAAATTTGTTTGAGTATAATTATTTATACTTTTCTGTTGTTAGCCTTTTTGTTTCAGTAGGTTCTGTTGTGACATTCCCTATTTCTCTTTTTATTCATGCTCTTTTCATTCTCCATTTTTTCCTTTATTAAATTTGCCAAGGGTTTGTCAATTTTATCAATCCTTTCAAATAACTAACTTCTAGTCCTACTGATTCTATTCTATTTATTTATTTAGTCTTTTTCACTTATTTCAGCTTGAATCTTTATTATTTCCTTTCTTTTGGAGACTGTAGGCTTTTTCTGCTGTTTTTTGTAATAGTTGGAACTGTTGGGTAGGATGTTAACTTGGTTCTTTCTTCTCTTTTGATGTGTATGTTTCTTGCTATAAATTGTCCTCTGAGCATGGCTTTTGGTGTGTCCCAAAGTTTGGTATTTTTTGTTTTCCTTGAATATTTTTTTTTTAAATTTTTATTGTGATTTGGGTGAAACTTTACAGAACAAATTCATTTTCCATACTCCATACACTTTGTCTCATGACATTGTCTGCAATTTCCTGCAATGAAACAGCTCTCTTTCAAGGAATTATTTTTTTATTTCAGTTTTTAATTTCTTTCCTCAGTAGTTTTTAAGCAAGGTGTTACTCAATTTCCATGTATTTAACTTTTTCCCTTGATCTTCTTGTAGTTTATTTCTAATGTCCTAAGTGTCTTAAATTCATCATCATATCTGTGTGACAGTTTTGCTGGATATATTATTTGTAATACACTCTAATGGTGCAGTGCCTAAAGCATTTGACTGCTAACCAGAAAGTTGGAGGTTCAAACCCACTAGGCATTCTGTAGAAAGAAGATGAGGCAATCTACTTCTGTAAAGATTTACTGCCTTGGAAACCCAATATGAGTTGGAATTGACTTGATGGTAGTGGGTTTAGTTTTGGTCATATAACTCTTATTTGGCACTTTTTTCTTTTTTCTTTCAGCTTCTTATATATGTCATCCCGTTGCCTTCTTGCTTGCATGGTTCCTGCCAATAAATAAAAGCTTAGTCTTATTGGTTCTCCTTTTCAGGTGAATTTTCATTTTTCCCAAGCTGCTTTCTGGGTTCCTTCTTTGTATTTCAATTTGGGAAGTTTGATTATGATATATCTGGTGTTTTCTTTTGGGATTGACCCTATTTGGGATTCATTGAGTCTGAATGCATATTTCATGATATTATGGAAGTTTTCTTCTAGGAAATCTTTGATAATTTTCTCAGTGCTTCTATTTTTTTTCTGGAATTCCAGTCATACATAAGTCATTCCTCTTGGTAGTGTTCCAAAGGAATCTTAAGCTTTCTTTCTTTCTTTCTTTTTTTTTTTTTTGTTCATTTTTCTGATAGTTCCTTCAGCAGATTGGTGTTGAGTGTTGAGGGATTTGTCTCCAATCTTGCTAATTCTGTATTCCATTGATTCAGTTCTACGCCTTTGTCTTTCCAATGCACTATCCATTTCTGAAATTTTAGTATTAATCTTCTGGATATTGATGGCTGTTTTTGTATGGCTTCTAATTTTCCATTTATTTTCTCTATTCTTGTGGCATAAGACATTTGACTGCTAACCAGAAGGGTGGCAGTTCAAACTCACCAGCCACTCCTCAGAAGACGGGGTAATCTACTTCCATAGAGACACCACCTCGGAAACTCAAGAAGGGGTCGCTATGAATCTAATCAACTTGATTGCAGTGGGTTTGGTTTGGTTTTATATTTTAATTCTTCTAGAGTTTTGTCTATGTTTTCCTTGGACATTCTCTCAATCAGTTAAAGGCACCTAACTTTAATTCTTTTGCATTTCTTATCAGGTAATACCTCTAGTATTTCTTCCTCTGGAAGATTTTCTGACCCTATACTTTTGCCATTTGTTTGAGGCATTTTGTCTTGTTTTATGTGTGTGTGTGTGTGTGTGTGATTTGAAGTTGTTGTCTCTGAAACATAGTAGTGTTATTGTATTAATGTGTTGATTATATGCTGGTTTGCATAACCCTGATTTTGTTGTTGTTGTTGTTCTGTTTTAATATATCTGGGTAACAGGGTAGACAGGTTACTCTAGTTACTGGTTTGGCAGCATCTGTGTCTGGGAAGATTTAGTGGCAGGTGGGAGTGTGGGTGTGTGTCTCTGATTATTGACTGTGCAGAGTAGCTG